CCCGTCACGGCCCCCGAGCCCCGCACAAAAACCCGCGTGCGCCCCGGCGGGTGTCCCCGCTTACCTAGCACGGTCAGCCGGGTGCCCGGGCCGAAGTACTGCGTGTTTTGGCTCACAGCCTCCAGGCACAGCACAAAAACAGGCGCCGCTCCCCGTGGCCTCCCGGGCCCTCCCCACTGCCCTCCTGGCCCCCCAGGCGTCCCTCCTTACCTAGCACGGTCAGCCGGGTGCCTGGGCCGAAATACTGAGTATCTGTGCTCACAGCACCGAGGTCGGGGACAAAAACCCGGCGCTGCCCTCGGCTGCTGCCCCGGACTCAGCCAGGTCTCCGCTCCAGCCGCAGCGGGCACCCCATAGCTCACTCAGCACCCAGCACCCAGAGTCCCCGACCCAGGGTCGCCCTGCCTCCGAGCACAGCCCCAGTGGAGCTGGGTAGCTGCCCCCCTCTCTCCATCCTGCCCCACGGAGCGCCCTGGACCCCCAACTGCCCTCCTTACCCAGCACGGTCAGCTTGGAACCTTTCCCAAAGTACAGCTGTCCGGTGTTCACACAGCCCTGGGGACCCAGGCGCAAACCCCACCTTCCAGGACTTGGGCCCCTTGGAGTGTCCAGCGCCCACTCCCTGAGGGCCAGTGTTCAGGGTCGTCCAAGGGAGAGTCCACCCTCCCTCCCACCTGGAGCAGCTTCTTACCGAGCACCGTGAGCCGGGTCCCTGGCCCGAAGTATTGCTCAGCATAGGAGCACAGTGGGAAGGGGCAGCCAAGAATTCCTCCCCCCTCCACACACACACTTCCCCATCCCCCTTGGCGCAGCCTAAGCGCCTCCCTCCTCCTTCCCGGCTTCTCACCCCCCACCTCCAGATGTAGCTGGACATGGTAATCTGGACACTGTCAGGTCACCCCCAATTCACAGAGGAAGTCAACTTGGCTTGAGGACAATACAGTGGCGGTGAAATCTGAAGGAGTATTGGTGGTGGTTGGGCTGGAGTCGGCTAGACCCTGCCTCATGCTACTTATAGCCCCTGTGGCCTTAGTTTCTTCATTGGAAAAGATGGAGCAAGGTCTTTCCCACGGGGCTGCTGTGAGTTCTTGATGAATGCTGCATGTGCTACTTTGTCAAAGGGCAGGTTTTAGAGACAGGTGAATGAGATCCCACTTGGTTGCCTTGGCCCTTGGCATTCTGGGAAGTCGAGTCTGGAGCAGAGAGATGCAGAGGTGTTCACTGAGTCAGGGTGCCTGCAAGACCTTCTGGGACCAGCCTCAGAGACCTCTCCCAGCTACTCTCCCCATCAGGAGCGTATCCCCTGTGCTGGGTGGGCGCATTTTCTGAGGCAGGGCTTTTTGTAAAAGCACCTCCTCTACTTGAATCATTGTGGCCCCCCCCAGTTGCCACAATGCTACACCATGGTACAAAAATGTTTTCTCCCCTCTAGCCCCCCTCCCTCAACCACTGAGCAGAGGCAGGAAGCACAGGTGGCAGAGGTTGGTCTGATTGAGTGGGGCTGGGGAAAGACAAACTCAGAGTACACTTAGAGTGGGAAGGTCATGGTGCCAGTGGGGATGGGGGGGCAGAGAGGCCCCTCCCCTCAACCACTGAGCAGAGGCAGGAAGCACAGGTGGCAGAGGTTGGTCTGATTGAGTGGGGCTGGGGAAAGACAAACTCAGAGTACAGTTAGAGTGGGGAGGGGCTTGGGGAAGGTCATGGTGCCAGTGGGGATGGGGGGCAGAGAGGCCCCTCCTTGGAACATACACAACTCTGAGGAGGTCTCCTATGTCATCAGGTCTCCCCTCTGAGACTCACCGTGCCCACCTGCACATTTATAGTCAGGCGATGTAGGAGGAGCGAGGGGTGGGATCTATAGAGCAGGTGATGGCAACATTGGCACCAGGACAGCACCCCAGAAACCTCTGTAATTCCCCATTGTTTCCAGAACAAAGTTCAAGCTCCTTAGCCTTCATTGATTGCACAGATATTTAATGAGCATCTACTATGTGCCAGGCCTCATGCTGGTCCATTTTCCTTTTAGCCATATGTTTTATGACTCCTGTCTCTGAACCTTGTACTCAACTACACTGAAGTACCCGGCCCCATTGTTTCGACTTTTGTTTATGCCTCTGACAGTCATGACCACTTCCATTCTTCCTTTGAAGAGTTTTCCAGCTTCTCAGACTTTTCCCAGTCAGAAAGTTGAGCACTAGCCTCTGACTGCATTTCAGTAGACAGCTTGCATTGCTGTTTCAAAGCATCGCCTGTATTTCAGCTATTTCTAGTCATGAATTATTCCCTTTAGGAACAGGTAAGCTTGGAGACTGTGACTTGGATATCTTTATTTTCTTGAAAGTTCATAGAAAAACATTGCAATCTATGTATTCAATGAGTTAATATATATATATATATGTACATATATGTGCACACACATTTGAACATGTGCATGTGTTACAATGGAGAGGGAAGGCTGTGTTCTGTAGTTCTGTAGATGGCAGGGTACGTGGCTATTTCAGGCAGGCTTGTCGTGATACCTGCTCCCAAATTGGGTCACTTTGGGCTCACTCATTTATTCATTCACTTATTCAAAGATAATTTATTGGGTTTCTACACTGAACTAGGGTACTATACCATATCCCAGGGATGCTGTAGTAAAACACAGCCTTGTTATCAGGAGCTGACCATCAAATGGGGTTGTCAGACAAGTGAAGAGGTAGTTTCCATCAAGTGTGGTGTCAGGAAGGAGGTGTGCACAACGCACAATGATAGCAAAATATAGGGTGCATTCAACCCAACCTTAAGAGAATAAGGGGTAAAGAGCTCCAGAGAAGGCCTCTTGAAGGAAGATACTGAGCCAAATCTTTAAGTAAGTAGGAGTCAGAGTACTCAGTCATTCCAGGTAGAGGAGTGCAAAATGGCCTGGAAGCAAATTGCTCAGGCGGTTTGGTGATGAGAGGAGTGAGGTGAGTGTGGAATAAGAAGGTGGAGGACAATTGTGGGTCTTTCATGCCATCCTAAGAATTTTGGACTACATGATCATGGTGACAATGAGACAACAAAGAACTTTTGTAGGATTTCTAGAAATAGCAATAGGGTTGATCTTGGGTTTGGAGAAACTTTATTTTCTATCCTTCTGGGCATGATCAAGGGGCATCTTCACAACTGTTAGTTCACTAGAGAGAAATAGATAAACTGATTTGTAACTTAAAAAACTGAAGACACAGCTGCTGAGGATAAATCTCCAGGTCAGTGCATTTTTCTCTCAGCTGGGAAACCTGGTTGGTGATGAATGGAGAGGAGAAATGTGCTCAGTGAGACAGCTGACAGGGACAGGAATGCCATATATAAACCAGGCTTTGATAGCCAGGGGGACATAACCAGTTGGCGGGTTGACACACCTATGTAGGTCAGCTCTTGCACAGATCACCTTTGTCCAGGTAGGTCAGAAGATTCCTATGGTCAGCATCACCATTTTTCTAGGCTGTTTGGGAGTAAGCCTCTTCACGTCCCATCACTACCTTTCACATTTCTTAAGTTCCCCACAGAAGGAGCAGTGCCAGTCACAGGCTGGGTCCCTGGGTATCTGAGGGGACTGCACTTTCCTTGAGTACCTCTTGTTTCTATCCTAACTGGAGTCCATGAGAGTTTAGAGATGGAAAAAAGAGATATGTAGACACTCAAGCCAGAACAGGCCATTTTTATTGGTTCAGTCAATGTAGGCACACCAGGGTCCCCTGGGGTTAGGGAGATTTTAGTCATGAGTGTTCAGCTGTGCAAGTATATAGCGGGTGGATATCAGGATGAATTGAGAGATTGAGACAGCTCTTCAGAAGCACTGGCTAGGAATGGAAAAAGGGGAATCCATATTGGGGAGATAACAGGCTGGAAGTTCCTGGCTGCACCTCTGAGCTGGTGTCAGGAATTCTTTCTCTTGACCTGAAGAGGAGAAGAAGGTTTTGGAGTTACCTGGAGTGTTGGGGACTTAGAGGAAGCAGATGGCCCATTGACTAGATGAACAGGGCTCCTCATAACTAGGTTTCAGGTGACCCCAGCTTCTCTTTCCCTTAGATCTCTTCCACTATGGTCCTGGAGGTATACTAAGTAAGGCATCTTCTAAGAAATGTGAGTAAAACCCCTCTTCCTCTCCTCCCACCTCTGGTCCTGGATATGAGTTGCTATGTTTCAAGTGTCACCTCCAACCTGCCTGCCCACCCTACCCTCCTCCTTACCATGGCCATCAGCACCAAGGTGCTGACCAGCACCGCATACACAGTGGCCTTCCCCAGCAGTATCTCATAGAGGATGGTGGCAGACAGGACCCCTTGCTGGTAGGACACTGTTGGTAGGAAATGAGAGCAAGTACATACTTTTAAGCGGATATCTCTGCCCCTCCCCAGGGTCCATGGGTTCTCCATCCTCTGGTTCCAAAGACCATGGGAGAAGGAGAGAAAGAAGCAGAGGGTCACTTACCTGAGGTGAAGCCACAATCTGAAAGAAAGAAGAGAGAGGGGAATGAATGAGCAGATGAAACACTGTCAGCCTTGTGGTCAGCACACTTCAGGCCCAGACCAGAGGAGTCTAGCACTGCCTTCCTGTGTGCCATGTGCCAGTATAGACACATCATCCTTGAAATTCATGAGACACATGTGGCAGCTCTGAAGGGGATGGGGACACACCACACAGATGCTGAGCCACCCAGGCCAGTAGTAAGGGGCCCAGCTGCAAGGCTGTGCTGGCTGGGGATCTGAGGAGGAACTAGCCCAAGGTGCCTGTTCTTCTTCATGGTGTGCTCTCATCTTCCCACCCCACTCCTTTAAAAAAAATGTCTAACCTGGTCTTTGTGGCCTTCTACCTGGATGCCCCTTTCTCTCTGGTCTGACTCACTACTTGCCTGACCCTCCAAGGCTCCACTCACCTGCTCTGCCCCAGACCTCAGCGCTGACATTCTGGGTGATGGGTATGGGGCGGGTGTCCTTCCAATTCTTCTTGTGTTCTTCCTCTAGCCCAAAGAACTGGACTTGGCAGCGGAAGTGGTTGCGAGGATTGTGCCAGAAGGTGGCAGAGACCCTCAGCCGGCTGCTCAGACAGTAGGTGGAGTCATTGAGGTGGCGCTGCTCCTTGTAGGGCTGAGGGTCTGTGCTGACCCCACTCTGGATCTCCTTCCCATTCACCCACCAGCTCAGCTCCACGTGGTCGGGGTAGAAGCCTGTGGCCAGGCACACAAGTGTGGCCTTCTGTGTCCGGGAGATCTCTGCTTCGGATGGTTCAAACACAGTGACCTTGGGTGGTTTCACCTTGTTCAGGTTGTCTGGAAGGGGAGAGGGGTTAGGAATAGGGCTTGTCTGAGAGCTGTCTAGGTTTGGTAGGGGCTGTGTGTATTTTATGTGGGCCTGTGGAAGGGGGTCAACATAAAGCAACATTATGTATTAGATCCCGTTTGTTTATAGGTCCCATTCTCTATTGTCATTTTTCCTTGACTTTCCCATCTCCTTCTTAGTCACCCCATGGAGCGACTATCTTTTCCACCTCCCTAAGGGGGTGCACCCTTCTGTCCCAATTTTCTTGGATTTTTTTTCAAAGTCTCACACTCAGGCCTTGCTCAATTACCTATCAGACGAGTATATCTGTCTTATCTTTTCTTCCTTGTTCAAAGCCCTCTTTGGTGCTCGATGTAATCTTTGAGATTTAGAAGTGGTTATAGCAGAGTTGAATGGGCCTGGATGTTAAGGCAGAAGATTCTCACTAGCAACATAACCCTGGGAGCTAAACTGACTTTTTCTAATTAGCATTGTCCTGTTTTGTAAGGTGTATATGTTTGTCTGTATGATAGCACATATAAGAATTAGTCTTTTTTACCTAGAAGAGACACCTTTCCCATTGCATCTGACT